CTACTTCTTGGACTGGGCATCTGTCTCCACTATTAGGACATTTACCTATAATGCCCGGTAGTGGTATTGCATACCTTTAATCCCAGCATTTGAGTGCAGGGTCGGGGGACAGAGGCAGATGGATTTCTGTGAGTTTGAGGCCAGCCTAGTGTATGAGTTCCAGGACAGCTAGGGCTGATATATAGAGAAACTCTGTCTCAAAAAAATTTCCAAAAATCAAACAACAACCATCTAAATATAAATCTCTATGGCCTAGTAGCTGAATTTCAGTTAAAGGTGTGCATGTGCTGGGAACTTCCTGTGTTAACTTGAAGAATCTTAACCATGCCATAGAAGTTAAGTGTTCTTAGATGTCTGCAAGCTTCATCTACAGTTCTAAAGTCCCCAAGAGCTCAGAAACCCAAAGTATTTTCCTTAAAGTTGGTACTAAAGCTGACTTGAACTTTGGCATACTTAACTCGAATAGCTATTCCCTCTGTATTTCCAGAAACTGACTTGCTCTGCGGGCTGAGAGGTGCCCCCAGAGGAGCCCTAAATTGTATGTCAACTGCTAATGTTCTGTTACTATGAGACAAAGGATTTCAAGCATAGCTGGGGATGGTAGCTCTACCTACAATCCAAACCCAGGAGACTGAGGCAGAAAGATTGCCATGAGTTTGCCTGATTTACAGTTTGGATTGCAGAGTGGAACCCTATGCCAAAAACAAAGAACAAGGAAAAAATGGGTGCTGGTGGCACATGCCTTTATTCCCAGCACTAGGGACACGAGGCAGGTGGATCTCCATGAGTTCCAGGCTAGCCAGGGCTACAATGTGGTGAGATTCTGTCTCAAAACCAAAATGGAAGTGAAGAAAAAAATATAAAAGAACAAAAAGATCTTCAAGGGGCCTGGAGAGATTGCCCAGCGAAACAGATAGTCTAAAAATCTGATTTTGGATTCATAGCACTCATGTAAAAGCCAAGCATGATCACACATCTATGACTCTAGTATGGGGATTGGCGGTTGGAGATAGGAATTTGCTGGTCAATCAGTGAAGCCAACCTGTGAGCTTTTTGGGTTCGTGACACACCCTATCTCAGAAGATGGATAAGGTGAACAGAGTTGAAGACACTCGACATCAACATCTGACCTCTACACACACACACACACACACACACACACACACACACACACACACTAAATATAGGCAGGGTTTTAAATGAGTTCACCAGACCCGAGATAAATGATAAATAGGTGTTTTATGGGTAAGAGTAAATAACCGCTATGGCCTTTCTGCTCCAGAAGATACAGTCCCTATCCTTGTGATGCTCTCCGATACTCGAGAGATTAAGCCCACAGTTCCTCCACCTTAAAGGGGTCACGTCCGCACCTGAGATCACACCCAAAGGGTGTAGCCACTACCACACTTTCACTGGAAAGGCAAGATGCCACTACAATTCCCCTTTTTGTCTAAAGAAGAAGGTTTAAGCCTGATACAAAAAGTATATTCAATGATAACAAATGTCAAGTATATCCCAGGAGAAGAGAATGTAAAAACATACACAAATTAAGACCTACAACCAGCAAGAGCAACATTGAGCAAGAGAAATATTCTACATGTCCAGTTTTAAGGTAATGGCATTTAACAGAGATTACTCCGATAGTTGTCCTAATCTGGAGAATCTAAGTCTTGTACATAGTATTTTCTATCTAAGAGAGGATATTAGCTGTGACTGTCTAGTCTTTAACCTCATTAAAGACCTGAGAAGGAAAATAACATTGCTAGGGTAGGCAGGACGTGCAAGCGTGAGACTTCCTAAAGGTGCAAGTAAAGAGAGAAACAGCAGGCTACCCGGACAGTCACCCAAGGTCTCACAGCAACATTGGGGCAACCAACTTTGGCTAAGGCCTAGAGTACCTGACAGACCATCTTAGAAGGAGGGAAATTGAAAGACTGTCTTACTCTGACTTGGTAAACTTCAGCAATCTCTTTAAGTTTATTTCCTGCCAGCCCAGTCAGAACAGCGTGTCCAAAGTCAGCGGTTGAGGTGGGGGCAGTTCTTTGCCCAAGAGGCCAGCAGCCGAGAAGAGAATGAACCCCAAATAGAGTGTCATCCATGCCCATCATACTCTCAGGGATAGCTCGGTGCTGTCAGGAGCAAGTGTATCTCATGTCAACGGAGTTCTAAACTATTAAAACATTTAAGTGCCATATTCTGTAGGTCTTTGAAGTGTCTGAAGATCAAATATCTATGTTGGGTACATCTCTGAGCACATATAGAACCTGACTAACATCATTAGGTATAAGAAGCTTGGGTAACCATAATCTGTAATTCTCAGAAACATAATTGCCCTGTGACTGAAGCTTTCCAAAATAATTTAAACAATCTCAAAACTGGTGTGTTGCATAAGGACAATGGCCTCAAATTTGTAACTATATACATGTACATGTAAATCTCTAAAACAGAGGTAGAATTGAAATGTCTTGACCAGAGGTAGAAATGTATAATGCAATATGATAAAAATATCCTTAATTGTATCACTATACAAAATATCTTATGCATATGTAGAAGCAGCATATATACATAGAATATGATAAAGATAGTTTTATATTTGTGCGCAAAACATCCTAAACAGAAAAAAGAGCCTACACAGTATGACAAATATAATATACAAATTATTCAAAACAGAAATACAAAGTTAATTTTCCATAAGTTTCAACATATAAGACTCTATAACAATGTAACTTGTCTATAGCTAATAGTTGCTAAAATAGTTCACAAGAAGATATGTTAATCTCCATCTTCACATATGTACACACATATCACAGACACATATTCACACATTCATACTTATTTTTATTTTATGTGCATTAGTATTTTACTATGGTGGTCAGATCCCCTGAACTGGAGTTACAGACAGTTGTGACCTGCCATGTGGGTGCTGGGAATTGAACCTGGGTCCTCTGGAAGAGCAGTCAGTGCTCTTAACCTCTGAGCCAGCCCCACTTACACACTTTTTTTTTTTTTAAGCAACCTTTGTTACTTTGCAGTCAGAAGCCTTGGGAAATGTGGTACAGGGACTTCTCTGAGATGGAAGCCAGCATATGAGCTGGGCCTGCAATCTTTCAGAGGCCTCACTGGGGCTAGACAACTTAGTTCCAAACTGGTTCCTTCACTGAAGTGGACAAGCTGGGTGAGTCAATAGACACAATGTGTCTCATGACTTCCAGAGGTCTCCCATCAGCATCTCCCCAGCATCTCTCAGTTACAGACGGAGGTCTCCCATCGGCATCTCCCCAGCATCTCTCAGTTACAGACGGAGGTCTCCCATCGGCATCTCCCCAGCATCTCTCAGTTACAGACGGAGGTCTCCCATCGGCATCTCCCCAGCATCTCTCAGTTACAGACGGAGGTCTCCCATCGGCATCTCCCCAGCATCTCTCAGTTACAGACGGAGGTCTCCCATCGGCATCTCCCCAGCATCTCTCAGTTACAGACGGAGGTCTCCCATCGGCATCTCCCCAGCATCTCTCAGTTACAGAGGTCAAGTACTACTTACTGTATGGGCGCCACTCATATGCATGGATAGTGGGAACAGGACTCCTTTAGCGCTTGGTTACCTCAGGTATATGTTCCCACCTAAAACCAAAGCTTTTGAAGTCCAAACACATGTGGCCCATTGGAAGCTTCTGGGTTGTTTGGTGTCTATTTTGTAGTTCACAATCAGGATCAAAAGCACTTGAGTGATCCACCCCAGGCTCCTCACAGCAGTAACCGTGAAGATTTACCGGGCCAGGGTTCTTCTGTGTGGGGCCTCCTCCCCTTTCCCTTTATCCCACCGCTGCCTCCGTCAATCAAGATGTACCCTTCATGGCCAAAATAAATGCGTTTTTGTTTGTTTTGTTTTTCGAGACAGGGTTTCTCACATAGATCTGCCTGCCTCTGCCTCCGGAGCGCTTGGATTAAAGGCATGCACCACCAACACCTGGCTAAATGCTTTGTTTTATAAGCTGCCTAGCATTTTGTCACAGCAATAGAAAAGAAACAGACACACACCCGTTCTCTAGTGCCACAACAGCCCTACCAGGCAGGGAAGGCAGTATCTTTTCTGAACAGGAGTCTTGGCTCTGAGGGCTGAGAAGGAGCTGACCATAGGTAAGCCAGGGTCTATCCCATAAATACTTGGCAGGATCTGGCTTTGCTTATAGTTTGGTACCGCAAGTGGGTGAGTTTCTACAGGCTCAGCCACAACAGACAGGATGTTGAACACAGGAGACTGAACAAAGAAAGAGAAACACATCCTCACGTGAGGGGACTCCCGTGAGACCTTAGCAAGGACCTTTTGAAAGATCCTCACTGCGGGGGGGGGGGGGGTTGGGAGGGGGAAGACACTTCCCAGAGGGAAAACACCGTTTGTAAGGAAGCTGTGGGAAGGAAAGAGCCAGCGCCCTCCCGTTTTCTGCTTAAGAACAGCTTCTAGCACTAAGGCGGTCCTAACTCGAATTTAGGGTACACTGCGGTCTGGAAGCTGCCTCTGGGACCCAGCAAGCATCTTGGATGGGAAGTCCTCTCTGAGTTCAGTGTCCCTACGTGACGAAACGCAAGCCCAGTCTCTGGAGAGGAAGGAGCCTGCCCTGCCAATGAAACCTGACTCCATTCCACGTCCAGTGTTTGAAGTCATTTGATTTATTTGCTTTCCTTCAGAAGCTGCAGCAGAGGAAACCGAACCCCGAACCCTGATCGCAGTCTGGGTCTGACTCCGGGAAAATTCCTCAAACGGAGGGAACAGGGTCGCGGCGATGCGCCTAGGACTGTGGGCGGACAGCCCCTAGAATGGAACTGGTGCGTCGAGACCGAGTAGGAGGGATGAGTGGGAGCGGGCGGTGCCAGCCGTGGGCGGGGGCGGAGTCCGACTCCCGGCAATGGGCGAGGCGGAGCCAACTGTGGGTGGGGGCGGATTAGGCTCCTGGGAGTGGGCGGGGCGAGGCGGGAAAAGTTCCGGGAAGGCCGCTGGTGGTCGCTCCCGCTACTCGCAGAAGTTGGAGGTGCCGGGGTCCCCAGGAAGCGCCCAGCCATGTCGTCTGGCAGACAGGACGGCGCCCCGCGCGCGGCCGCTGCGCTCTGTAGCCTGTACCACGAGGCCGGCCAGCAGCTGCAGCGCCTGCAGGATCAGCTGGCGGCGCGCGACGCCCTTATCGCCAGCCTGCGCACCCGCCTAGCGGCTCTGCAAGGGGACACGGCGCCGTCGCTCGTGGACGCGCTTCTGGATCAGGTGGAGCGCTTCCGTGAGCAGCTACGGCGGCAGCAGGAAGGAACCACTGAGACCCAGCTGCGCCAGGTTCGGGGCGGGCGCGGCTGCCCCGGGCGGCCTCGGGAGCTTGGAGTGTGGCACCGAGCCCGGTCCCTGAGGGTCGTGCTGGTCTGAGGGCGCGAGGATATGAGGAGTGTGGTGCGGATCTGAAGAGCGCGAGGTCCAGAGGCATGGTCGTCTAAGGGGAGCATGAGGGAGCTGGGCTGTGAGAGTCAAAGGGTCTGAGGGCTCTGAGGTATAGGGGACCCTGAGGAGTTGGGGTCTGAAGGGCAAGAGTCTGCGGAGTCCAGGGTTCTGAGAGGTTGGAGATTCATTTGTAGGCCCGACCGATGTAATGCACAGAGGAGAGCAGGTGTCTCTGGGACACAGGGTTCTGGTGAGTACCACCAGGGTTAGGGATGCGGACATTTGAGAAGTACCCGGTCCTCGGGAGCTCAGGTTATGACCAGTTCTGAGGGACATATAATGGAGGTACGTTTGGGAGCCACCCTCTGGGTCTCTCGACTTTGAGGGGAACTGTTGAGGGAAACTTGCCCATGAAGTTCTCTGGCAGATCTGAGGAGCAGGTTACCCTGGAGTGCAGGGATCTGTGGAGCATGAGGTACTGAGGTAGTCTTGGACACATGGTTCTGTTAGTTGTGAGCTTCTCCAGTCTGTGCTCCAGACCCCAAAGGGGTGTATAGCTGTTTTCATCACAGCTTTATTGCTTTCAAGAGGTATCATGACCAAGGCAACTCTTACAAAAGGAAGTATTTCACTGGGGGCTTGATTACAGTTGTAGAGGGGTTAGTCCCTTATCATCACGGTGGGGACTATGGCAGCTCAAAAGCAGGCATGGGCCGGGAGTAGTGGCTGAGAGCTACATTCTTATCCCCTGGCAGAGAGAGACAGTGGGCTTGGTGTGGGCTTTTGAAACATGAAAGTCGGCCCCCAGTGACACAGCTCCTCCAACAAAGCCACACCTCCTAATCCTTCCCAAATAGTGCCACTCCCTAATGACTAAGCACTCTAATATATGAGCCTATGGGGGCCGTTCTTATTCACACTACTACATAGGACACCAGGTTTGAAGGAGATGGAGTTCTGAGGAGGGCTGATGTTCAGGGTTCGGAGGGAGCAGGGTTTAAAGGGACACTATAGGCTCTGAAGGACCTGGTGAGGCATGGAGTGTAGAGGGTCTCAAGGACATACAGGCATTGCTTTTTGAGGAATGTGTGTAGGTTCCTGTGTGTGTGTGTGTGTGTGTGTGTGTGTGTGTGTGTGTGTGTGTGTGTATTTGTGGGAGTGCAGATTTTGGGTATTGTGTTCTGGTATTGTGTTAGGGAAATCTTTTGTGGAATGTGGGTTTCTGAACCTTGTGTGGGGTGCCAGGGACCTGAGAGACACATAGGGTTCAAGGGATGGAGCTCTGAGAGAGAAGGCCACATCTTTGATTGGTGGCTTTTAGTGTTATATTTGAAGAAGTGACAGGAAGAGCCTACCAAGTGCCTGATAATCTGTGAAGTCTTTGGTTCTCCTTGTCATTTGTGTTATTTGGTTTCTGAGAGATACCATAAGCAAACTGAAGCAAGGGAAATGCTTCCCTTTAAATGTTACTTGTAAATCTGACACCCTTCCCTGACCTTGGGTGAATACTGGCATGTTATTGCATTTGGTCCAGGGCTATACTGGTTTTCCCAGGAAAGAAAATAAGCCTGTAAGGAAAGTAGCTGGCAAAAGGTAAAGTTTGTTTCCAAGATTTCACCCCCACAGCTACATTTCTTTTCTTCTTTCTTCCATCCCTACACCCTTTGGTGTTAGTGATTGACCTAGAGCCTCACACATTCAGAAAACTGAATCTCCAGTTTTCTTTTTCTTTTTTATTTTAGACCTGGTCTCACTAAGTTACCCAATCTGATCTTAAACTCACTGTGAATCCCAGGTAGGCCTTAACTTTGGATCCTTCTGCCTCAGTCTCTCAGGCAGATGGTATTATAGGCCTTTGCCACCAGTGCTGGCCACAGCAAAATTTAAGAGGGAAAAAAAATGTTTTTTTTTTTCTGATGGTAAAGTTCAGAACATCTGAAAAATAAAGGAAAGAATAAAATAACCCCACATGCTTTTTGCACACCTCTTACCTGTTCTTGCTATTTTTGAGTTGATCCTTACTATGCAGATTTTCTTTATATTATGTTGTCATTGTTTTCTACCCATATTATTACCAGATGCCTCCCCACTCCACTTTTCCCTCTTTCTGGAAGGAGGCTTGTAAAGTAGAGCAGAAGGGAAATGTAGAGTCCGCCTGATTTAGTGTTGTGCACATCAGGAGCTGCAGTTGAATGTGTCACCACAGAGTGAGTGTGTCACCAGAGTGAGTGTGTCACCACAGAGTGAGTGTGTCACCACAGAGTGTGTCAGTCACCACAGAGTGTGTCAGTCACCACAGAGCGTGTCAGTCACCACAGAGTGAGTGTGTCACCACAGAGTGAGTGTGTCACCAGAGTGTGTCACCACACAGTGTGTCAGTCACCACAGAGTGTGTCAGTCACCACAGAGTGAGTGTGTCACTAGGTATTTATGGGAACAGTTAGGATAAGAGAGCTCCCCATAATCAGAGCAGAGCTGCATTTGCAGCCTGGTGGCCACTGGTATTCAATGCAGATGCATGCACATGAAGCCCTGTAGAGGCCCAGACAGAACCAGTCTGTGATCCCAGTATTTGTGGTCCTACATCCTCTGATATAGGGATTTTGTTCTTAAAATTTTTTAAAGAACGAATTTCTTAAAATAATTTTAAGAATTATTTGTAATTTTTAAAGGAAACTTTGTTAACATTGTGGTGACTTTAAATGTTACAAAACTATCACATGGCTTCTTAGTTTGCCAAAACAAATTGACTAAATGTATTAGCAGTAGACATAGGTATCAAAAATTATCCTGTTAGAATAGCTCTGAACAATCTGGGCAATGGTGGCACACACCTTTAATCCCAGAACTCAGGAGGCAGAAGCAGGTGGATCTCTGTGAGTTCGAAGCTGGCCTGGTCTACAAAGTGAGTTCCAGGACAGTCACACAGAGAACCCCGTCTCAAAAACCAACCAATGAACAATCAACACAAAACAACCAAAACAAAACAATCCTGTTCATTTTCATCTCAGAGTTGTTGTTTTTTCTATGATGTAGCTTCTTTGGTCATGTGGTTTGCAGAGGTATGCACAAGATAAGGCTAATGTAACTAATATAATAAATTAGTTATTAATGTAACACATTCTATGACTTTGTACTAGTAACTGTCTTAGTTACTTTTCTGTGAAGAGATACCATGACCAAGGCAACTTATAAAAGAAAGAACTTAATTGGGGCTTGCTCACAGTTTCAAGGGTGAGTCCATAACCATCATGGGGGGAGAGAGACAGCATGCAGCTGCCAACAAGTAGCTGAGACCTGCATCTGATCCACAGGCAGGGGACAGAGAAAGCACTGGGCGTGGTGAAGGCCCCCACCCTCAGGACTGGTATAGCTTTTCCAACAAGGCTACGCCTCCCATTCCTCCCCAAAACAATTTCACCAATGAGGGACCAGGTATTCAAACATCTGAGCCTATGGGGGCCATTCTCACTCAAACCACAGTAACTAATGTAATACATTTTATGATGACAAATATGTGTGAGAAATTTTGGCAAATGTCAAAGAGACTATGTGCTTGTCAAATCAATGCAAGTGCAATAGCACTTTAAAATTTTATTATCTTCTTCTTACCTCTTAAATTGTACTAGTGAATGCAACATTGTTATATTTTAAATCATTTGTTCTTCATCTGTAACAAAGGGAAATAACTGCAACTGGCCTTAGTTTTAAAATCAAATAATGTGGGTCTAGGAAGATGATCAGCAATTAAGAGTACATATTGCTCTTGCCGAAGACCCAAGATTGGATCACAGCATCAAGAGGCTCACAAGTGCCTGCAAGTCAAACTCCAAGGGATTTTTTTTTTTTAACAACCTCTTCTGGCCTCCATAGGAACTTGAATGCACATATACATACTCACATACAGATACATAAAATAAAAAGCTGCTCTGGGCAATGGTGGCACATACCTTTGATCACAGCACTTGGGAGCGAGAGGTAGGTGGATCTTTCTGAGTTTGAGGCTAGGTCTACTTGAAAAACAAACAAATATATAAATATAAAAAGCTGGGCATGTTGTTGTAGGTCTTTAATCTAACACCCTTGCAGCGGAGGCAGGTGGATCCTTATGAGTTTGAGGCAAGTTTGATCTACATAGTGAGTTGTAGCCAGAGCTATATTGTGAGACACTGTCTCAAAAAGCCAAAGTAGAGTTTCAGGACAGCCAGGGCTAAACAGTGAAACCTTCTGTCTTGAAAAATTAGCCCCCCTAAAAGCCAAAATAAATGAATAAATAAATAAAGTCTAAAAAAAGGAAATAGGGTTGACAAGATGGCTCAACAGGTAAAGGCAGTTGTCATCAAGCCTGATGACCTGAACTTGATCCCAGAACTTGTGTGGTAGAAGGAGAGAACAGAGTCCTGCAAGTTGACCTTCACATTCATGCTAAGTCATATAGGCTTTTGTATGCATGCTCCTTCTCTCTCTCTCTCTCTCTCTCTCTCTCTCTCTCTCTCTCTCTCTCTCATTAAGTCATACAGGCTTTTGTATGAATGCTCCTTTTCTTTCTTTCTCTCTCTCTCTCTCACACACACACTAATTAAAAAACACAATTCTTTTTATTGTTTACTTTTTGTTTTTTGAGACAGGGTTTTTCTGTGTAGCCTTGGCTGTCTTGGAACTCATTCTGTAGACCAGGCTGGCGTCAGACCCACAGAGATCTGTCTGCCTCTGCCTCCCGAGGGATTGGATTAAAGGAGTGCTCCTCCTCCACCATCACCAGGCATAAACACAATTCTTAAAGAAGGAAAAAAAAAAAAAAACCAGAAATAGTAATATGAAACAAATGGTTAATTATAGGTATCTTTCACTAAAGAAATGGTTAACATAATTATTTGCATATGTAGTAAAATACATTGTGATTATAGGCAACTTATTTAACAAGATAGTACACAAATTTAGATTTCCAAGGCAGCATGCTTTATACTTCCTAGAAAGCAAAGACAGTGGGGGAAAAAAAATCTCCCAGGCAAATGGCAAGGGACGAGAGACCACAGGTAATCAAATCTGTACAGCATTAGCAACATCAAACAACATAAGCTTCTATAATAGTTGCCTTGAGTTTTGATCCAGAAGAATTCCAATGGAGAAGCAGGGTAATACACAATATGTCAATAGTCCCAGCCACTCAGGAGGCTGAGGCAGGAGGATCCCAATTTTGAGGTTAGCTTGTATTATAAAGCAAGACTTTGTATTTTTAAAAAGGTTAAAATATATACTTATTTTTTAAAAAAAGAAAAAAAAATCCAATGGAGGTCAAAGCCAGGATAAATTCTTTGAGAGGGAGTTACCACAAACATCTCTTCCTAAAATGTTAACATCAAAGAAAACCATACAGCTGTGTAAACCTTTAGTAGTTAAAATGCAATGAGAAATGAATTTCTTTCCTTGTGATATATGGGATTTCTTCACTCAGTCCAAAGGTTGGTTTTCCTGGACCCCTTTTCCATTATATACAACAGGAAACTTTTCAAACATTCCAAATGTGTCTTAGAACATAGTTCATATGTAAAAACTGCACTTTGAATGATTCGAATGTGCCAATGGAATGTATTAGACCATAAGCAACTATGAAGCTGTTTCAAATGTTGAGCTAGGGTGGTGACACACCCATTTAACCCCAACACTTAGTATGCTGAGGCAGAAGGAGCTGAGTGTGAGACCAGCCTGAGCTTTGTAGTAAGGCAATCTCAAATAAACAACACACACCCACCCACACACACACACACACACACACACACACACACACACACACAGAGGAGAAAGATATTAATGACTTTTCTGTGGATACAAAATTCATAGAAAAGATTAAACTGAAAAGGAACAGCATGTGTTTGTTGAAGGTAGTTTGAAGAGGGCTAGGAGGAATAGAAAATGTTTCTGGTTGTACAAGGTCAAGGGGCCTTGTCAGGATCCCAAATTGGCCAAGGGGGTACATATACAAGGAATATGTCTGTACTTTTTAAATTTTAAAAAATATTTTAACTTTCTTTAAAAGATGTACTTTATTTCATATATGTGTGAGTGTCTGCATGCATGTATGTGCACCATATACTTGCTTGGTGCCCATAGAGTCCAGAAGAGGGCATCAGATTCCATGGAACTGGAGTTATAGATGAGCTATCTGATGTGGGTGCTGGGAACTAAACCTGGTCCTCTGCAAGAGCAGCAAATGCTCTTAACCACTGAGCCATCTCTCTAGCCTGATATACTTTTATTTTTAAGATATGTTTGTATGTGTTTGTCTGTATGTCATGTGAATGTCAGTGCTGATGAAGTTGAGAGTAGAGTTCAGATTGCCTGGAGCTGGAGTTACAGGTTGTTGTGAGCTATACCACATTGATGCTGGGAACTGGGGGTGTGGAGGGACCGAGAGGAGTCCGTGTGTCTGGATGAGGCTGTAGCTTGTCCTCTGACAGTATCTGGAGTGGGACCTGGGACTTTACCCCATCTGCAACTTGAGGCCTGGATGGATGACTTTTCACACTTCTTTCAGATAAGATTTTCTGGTTAATGGTGCTATTTACCATTTGGTCCATCACAATACAACTGTGCTGTCTGAAATACCTTCTTAGATGGACATTAGTGGTTAGAGTAGGGATAGTTCTAATTCAGTATGACCTCACTTGAACTAATGATATCTACAAATACTCTCTTATTATTCTTTTTGTTTTTTCAAGCTCAGATTTCTCTGTGTAGTCTTGGCTGACCTGGAGCTCACTCTGTAGAACTCTCAGAGATCCACCTGCCTCTGCCTTCCAAGTGCTGGGATTAAAGAATGTGCCACCACCATCTGGCTACAAATACTCTATTTCTATTAGTTTTGTTTTGAGACATGATCTCACTATGTAGCCCTGGTTGGTCTGGAACTCGTTATGTAGGCCAGGCTGGCCTCAGACTCACAGAGATCTACCTGACTCTACCTCTCAAGTGTTGGGATTAGTGTGTACTGGCATACCTGACTGAGATTATTTTAAATGAAGTTTGAAAATATTTTAAGATGAAAAACTTCAAAGTTAACTATAGCAGGTTTTCTATTGGGCCACCAACCAACTCCCAAATTATGACATGAGGACTTACCTGTTTCTCTTTATCTCTGCTTCCTCTCAGGGCTTTTTACCTTTCTTTCATTCAGTATGTCTTATTCTGTGTCTTGCTGGCTGGCAGCTGCTTGGCTGGCTAGCCTGGGTGTCTTCTTCTCTTCCTCCCTCATCCTCTCATCTCCTTCTCTTCTCTATTGAGCCTAGATTCCTTTTCCTACTTATTCTCTCTTACTACCAGCTTCTCCCTCTACTGCCTAACTATTGGCCATTCACCTTACTATTAGACCAATCAGGTGTCTTAGGCAGGCAAAGCAACACAGCTTTACATCATTAAACAAATGCAACATAAACAAGTATGACACATCTTTATATAGTTAAAGTAATATTCCATAAGTTAACCGTATTATTATCTCAAAAGCCTGCCTACAGGGTGTTATCTAGTGATACATCATCCTTGCCAGAGTTTCCTGTGTTTTATCACATTTGCTTCCTCTTCCCTTCATGTAGCCCAAAGTTGTTATTTAGTTGATGATGGCCTTGAACCCCTTCTATTCCTAACTCTATCTCCTAAGTGCTAGGATTACATGTGTCTTATTGTACCTGGCTTAGAACATTTGCTTTTTAGCATTTTTTTCATTTAATCAAGCTGTGCTTTAATTTTTACAACTATTGAACCTGCCTGTCTTTCTTTACTGTTTTTAGATAGGCTCTCTCTGGCTGGCCTCAAATTCTTGATCCTCCTGACCCATCCTCCCCACTGCTGAGATTATAGGCATGTGTCACCACACCAATCTAACTGTGTTTCGAAATGATTTTCCTTTTAGGAAGTTGAGAGACTTACTGAGCGACTAGAAGAGAAAGAGAGGGAGATGCAGCAGCTGATGAGCCAGCCTCAGCATGAGCGAGAGAAGGAACAAGCCAGGGCGGCCAGTGACATTCTGTGCCGCTCCTTGATGGATGAGACTCACCAACTGCGCAGAACACTGGCTGCCACTGCCCACATGTGCCAACATCTGGCCAAATGTCTGGATGAACGACAGCATGCACAGGGAGATGTTGGGGAGAGAAGCCCCGATGAGGTAGGCAGTGTAACTGAGTGAAGACTCTGGTGTGGCAGAAGTCATCGCCTGTCCTGCTCTGAGACTCCTGTGCTCACTAAGGTCTAGGGGTGCCCCAGAAGTGAGGGGAGTACGCTTGCTTATCCAGCGAGCTCTGATGAAACATGTGACAGGAAAGCTGAGTGGCCCTGCTTCCCCAGCTCCCAGCACTGTCTGAAGCTGATCCTGCATGCGTATGGGGATGGCACTTTGGTCTTTTCTGCCACTGAGGATAGGAAGAGCTGGGGATTGAGGGGCCTCCCATAGGAAGTGTTGTCACAAACAGAGAAACTGAGGCAGATCTAGGTGATACTGCTAAGGAGGAGCAATGCCTCCACATGCCACTTATGAAAAGTCCAGGCCTAAAGCTGCTGGGAGATCCATAAGCACCAGCCTTTTGTAGACTACATGCATCTGAGTGCTAAGAGTTGATCAGCCACAAGCCTCACAAAAGAGCCAGAACTTCTGTTGCCAGCAACATGGCCTGCCATAAACTAGGAGACCTGCCACCCTCATGGCTAGTTTCCTCATTCTCACATGACACGGAACATCTGCATGCCTCAAAACTATGAACCCCATGTAGACGAAATGTGAGGTGGACAGCAGATGGTGACAGAGGCTCCAGAAGGGCCAGGTTGCAACAGGGACTCAAGAAGAGCCCTCTGTGCCTTCAGGCCAGGATAGTTTGGTGGAGGAGAGGAGCATGACCAAGGTTTTGGCATTGAGCATCCATAAGGTAGTCATGGGGAAGAGATGCATCTTGAAAACCAGAGGGCTCCTGGACAGGAATAGCTGTGATGGATGGGACCAAGACTCAATATATGCCAGGTACTGGGTGGGCATGGTACTTTATTTCCTGCTTCCAGGTGGTGCTAATCTGTGTGGAGCTGACAGGGAAACAGGTACATATGGCATACCTTGCCTCAGTCATCAGTGGATGTATTTGTGACTTTTCGTGTTACTACAATACCAACCGACACAACTTCAGGGAGGGTTTCAGTCTAACATGGTGGGGATGGCATGGCCAAATTCATGGTAATGGGAATTTGTGACAGAGGATCCTCACATCATAGCAGACCAGGAATCACACAGAGAGTCAGAGAGACAATGAGACCGTGGGGAACTTCGGGTGGGTATCAGCTTCAGAGGCCTGTCTTTAATGGGTTACTTCTGACTGCTAGGCTATACTTTACTAAAGTTTCTATAGCTTCCATAAATGGCACCAGCAGCTGAGGATCAAGTTTTCAAACTATGAGTTTGTGGGGAGCATTTCCAATTCAGATCATAACAGTGGAGCAGGCTGAGTCTACATCTCATGTACACTGTCCCAGACAGAGCCTCTAGGTCATATCCCTTTCTAGGAAATTCTCTGAGACTGCAGCCGTGTTCATGAGGCTGTATGTGTTCTGAGGAAAGTGGACATACAGCTACCAGCGGCTTCTCTAATGTATAGAGAAACTTAGTCAAGAACCATCCGTCTCAGTTGGGTTCCATAAAAGAAATCCCAAGAAGGAACACAGTTGTCTTCTTTGCTGGATAGGAGGAGGTGGGTGCTCTTGTCCAAGTTTGTATCATTGTAACATTCTCTTTGAAGATCTTGAAGAAGCTTCACACTGTGATCAGCCTGAGGTGGGTGCTGAGACAGGCATCTCATGTCTCTTAAGGCAGTATCACTGTCTCAGCCCTGGACTTGGCTGAGTCATCTGGGGCTTACTGGGTTAGGACATACACTTCCTGTCATTCAAGGGGAATTTTTAAAAGTTATGTCAGTGATTTACAGTCCTCTGTGCTGTTCAGTGCCTGGAATTTCTGGGCTACAGAGTCTGCCCCAGGAAAGTTTTCTGAGACTTTACAGTGGGGTCAGTCAGCTGCTATTAGGGGTTGGTTTGGGGTGTGGCTTCTGTAAGTGAATGGCCCTGATTGTGGCCCTGTGTGAAGCCCAAGTTAGGTCATCTCATTCAGATTAGTTTGCTCATCTATAGGCAGGGTTTCTGTCTTGATGACTGTGAAGGAGGTAAGACTGATCTGTGGCCAGGCCCAAACCAGGGACCTGGAAAGCCTCCTAGATGCTGGATTGTGTGGTATGTCTCTGTTATGTTCCAGTCCACTCTATTGCCTGTGATATTAAATGAGCTCTGGCACTATAAAGGTTTGTTACAGCTGGTATACTTACTTTTAGACTTGATGACAACAGAATGTTTAGGTCCAGAATATTTAAAATACAAATAGCTCATGTTGGTAGGTAGGAAGGGACAAGGACAGGCTCCTGGCCTCTGTCAGTCAGGAGTGGATCTTGCAGGAGCTGGACTTGCAAAGTCCTTTGTATCTGTTTTACTTCTCTATCAAGTGGAGAGTCACCACCTCCTACACTGCAGCTGCATTAACTGTCTGTGGCCTCAGCCTAGGGCTCTAACTTCTCCTTTTCTGTATGTGATACAGATATGTAATACAGTGACATGACATCTCTTTGTCTCTCTTTTTATGTAGCTAGGGAATACAAGCAGGAATGCTTCTGACAAGAGTATTATTGAGAAGTTACAGGAAGAAAATCAACTATTAAAACAAAAGGTGACTCATGTGAGTATCTGACATCCCATTGAGGAGGAAAATTAACCCTGACAAATGGTAAAAGGAGGTTTTTCTTTAGCTGGTGCTTAGAGGTGGCATCTGCCCCCTGGCTATTTTAACTTGATACACAGGGTCTCCAGAGACCTGACCTTTCTGCCACAGAGGATGTACAGATTCTGTACATTAACTAGTCAATAAAGGAAGTGCAAGAATTCCCATCAGGAAGTAATTTTGAGTGTGTATGTTATATGCGAATGTGTTTGTATTTGCATGTATCAGGCAATTGCACTCTACCTTTATTTATTTATTTTTTTTGCAACAGGTTCTCTTGCTGAATCTGGCACAAACAGATTTGGCACGGCTAGCTGGCTGGCCAGTGAGCTCCAGGGATCTGCCTGTCTCACCATCCCCAGCAGTAAGAGTTCAGTCATGAGCATCATACCCAGCTTTTACATGGATGCTGGCAATCTGAAATCAGGTCTTCATGCTTGCTCAGCAAGTACTTGACTGGCTGAGCCACTGCCCCAGTAGTTTTGTTGGGTTTCCTTTTCCCACTCTGCCTCTTGGAAGCAGTTTTTAAGACAAGAAAATAACAGAGTTCATATCTGTCTAAGACCCATAATATGGATGTTACTATAATACATCAGGATTCTCTGGTAGGCTTAGAACTCTCTACACAAAGGAAAGGCAAGGGAGGCAGTTTCATAAATTATTGCTGATAATCACAGTTCCAAATAGGCTTGAGCAAATGTGTCTTCTGGTTCTGTCTTTTCAGGTAGAAGACCTCAATGCTAAGTGGCAGCGTTACGATGCCAGTAGGGATGAATATGTGAAGGGGTTACATGCACAGCTAAAGCGGCGACAGGTCCCTCATGAGCCGGAGCTGATGAAGAAGGAGATTTCCAGGCTTAACAGACAGTTGGAGGAGAAAATAAATGACTGTGCCGAAGCGAAACAGGAGCTGGCAACTGTGAAGATGGCCCGGGACACTGCACTGGAGCGAGTGCAGATGCTAGAGCAGCAGGTGTCCTCAGACACTGGGGAGGGCTAACAGGGATGTTTGTCTACAACATAGGGAGTGGCCAGAGTCATGGGGCAGCCTCACTAAAGGCTTGGTAGCACTAGGTGGGATACAATAGTGGGAGAATCGAGGTAAGAATTTTCTCCTTCCTTGAATAGAAATGAGCATTGTCTTTTCTCAGATTCTTGCTTACAAGGATGACTTCAAATCAGAAAGGGCAGATCGGGAACGAGCTCATAGTAGGATTCAAGAACTGGAGGAAAAGGTCATGTCCTTGATGTCCCAAGCATCCCAGAGACAGGTAAGAGCACAAGACTCTTAGTATTTTTTATTATGAATTTTGTCTGCAAAGATTTATTGGCTGAAAATACTGTTAGTGATAGGCCCTTCTGCACTCTGCAGAGTAACCTCTCCTGGGCCTATGGTATGGCCATAGAAAATCTTTTACAAAACCTCTCTGTGGTACTGTATTTAGTTGTGGAGGTTGGCACGATGGCCTGTGTTGGTCAAGGCTAGTTGCCTCCTTGCTTATTGTTGCCATGCAACCCAAGTGTACCCCAGGCCCTAGGTGCTTTATGGGCAGCTTCTGTGTCTGTCCTCTTGAGGTAGAGACCCTGGTTACTGTGTTGCAGAGGTGTGACACAGGCCCCAAGCACTAAACAGGCCGGTTCTCCAGGATGGCCAGTGGGCCTGTTGCCATCTTTATTTTTAGTGCTGGTGTTGTCAGTGCAAGTCTCTCAGGCATGAAAGCTGGACATGCGTGCCTTTTACCTCTCCTCCCTGGATAGACTCATGCTCTGCAGTTTCCAGAGGTTTGTTACTTTGGCCACTTAGTGTCTGTGCATCTGTCCTGGGAAAAACACCTGGCTCCCCTGAGAGAACTTCCTGTCCTGACATAGCTTGGATAAGGAAGCGCCTCTGGAAATGAGTAGGCTGAGAAATGACCCTGAAACTGTCTTTCCCAATAAGATGTTACAGGAATTGGGCTGCCCACAGTTCTGTTCTGAGCAGCTGCTGGACCTCATCAGCCTCCGCCTTCCTTCTTCTGCACCAAGGGCACAGAATCCTGGTAGATACCTTTCTTCAGTTCCCTTGAGCTAAATTCCCATCATGGGGCTGGACACAAAGCACTTACGATGGATGGATTTTGTTGGGAACCTGTGCTCCTCCCTAAGTCCACAGGCCAACAGGGTGGTACTAGAGGGCTTCAGCAGTCATAGAGGGCCCTCCCCAGAGCCTCTGCTGCCCTTCTGATGTCAAATAATGGAGTGTGGGTGTTTCCCCGCTCCCTGTTCTAGATCTGGCTTTTTCAAGGTGGTGGGGCCATAGGAGGCTACTCTCCTAAAGCACCAGGACTGTAGGCATAAGGCAGAATCCTCTGTCCCATGCCAGGAATGGGGTATTTTCTAACATGCCTGTAGGTTCACTGGCTCCTTTGTGTTTTAGATCGCGAGGTCATTAAAGGTGCAGTCATCATAATGACCTCTCAGGCAGCCTTACAGGGATGTGCCAGGGGAGTGACCATACCATACCAGTTCTCGGTCTGCCAAGCCAGGTCCTCCAAGGGATTTCTGTCAGACCCAAGGGCTAGATTTCTGGTGGGAGCCAGGGCCTTTGCACTAGTTGTGGCCCCTCAAGCACCCATTGTTGCTCTACCCAATGGGGACAATCACATGACAGCGGTGTTGAGTGTGAGTGATAAGACACTGTCCCTCTGAGAAAAATCCAAATTCAAATGTAAAGTAAAAACAAGACTGGGTGCTGGAGTAAGGTTCCCACATATGAAGCAATGGGGACTACCGCCCAGTGCTTTGTGGCATTTGGTTAGAGCACATGGACCAGGCTGTGCAAAGGGTGCACTCAATGGCTGTCACTGTAGGTCTCAAGTGTAACACCTCAAATTACATTGAGGTACAGTAGGACTTTGTTTTCCTGTTCCCTGGCTAATGCCCTGCTGCCTACACCACTCCCCAGCTGCCTCACTATGATGGTAGTGGGGCGTGGCATCATCACTTCCTTCAGAGAATGTCCTAGGGCTGAGGGCTCTAATCAGGCTTTCACTTAATGGATGGGGAGAAAAGGAATTTAAGCTTTTAGGAACTCCAGAGAGTAAAGTAAAATACCTTGATTCTTCTATTATCACCCCCCCCCACCCCACCAACCTGCCTCTGCCTCCCAAGTGCTGGGATTAAAGGTGTGCACCATCATTGCCCAGTTAACACCTTGATTCTTGACCTTCGTTCCACACTACTTAGAGAAACTCTTGCAGTATGTGGACCTGATGTTTGATGAAGTGATGTATTGTGGTATAGCAATAAACAAGGTAATGGGATTTAAGTTCTACTCTGAGATACAGTGTGTTTCTAGTTGTTAGAACCTAGGATCAGGCTTTGTGACTTCTAGCATTGCCCACAGTAAACTGACCTTTGACTTCTCAGCAGGACTTCCGGGAGCCAGGACCCTGTTGGATTTATTCGGGGAATAAAACTGCCAAGTACTTAGAGATGGATGCACTGGAGTGTGTGGCACCTGGTGGCTGGAGGCCTGGGCCTGGGTCCCAACAGATGGAACTTTCTGCAGAGGGTGGGCATGTTTACACTGCCCATAGAGGTCAGGGTGACCTTCAGTGCCCTCATTGTCTGCGGTGCTTCAGCGATGAACAAGGCGAGGCATTCCTCAGGCACCTGTCTGAGTGCTGCCAATGAGCCAGAGCCACCACACCCAGTGTGGCCCCTGGCCAGCGTAGGTATGCTAAGGGATTGGGTAGGTGTCTTCAGACTCAGTCCTCATTGGCAGAGCAGAAGGAAGAGAAGCTATCAGTTTTCTCTCATGTGGAGTTTGTATCCCAGTTGTCAGTTCAAAGCTACAAACTATCTGGTGTGCTGGTATCCAGAGGCCTGCTTGCACTTAAGAGTTATGTCCTTTCCAAAGTGGGAGGTCCGTCCTGTTGTACAGTGAGGTGTCTCACTCCCAGACTGGTCTGTACTGCATTAGTTGTCAGTACACTAGGGCCTTCCCAGACATAATAGTCACATAGATGCACCCAGTACTATTACCTTGCAACAACAACAAAGCACCTTTATTTCCTAATCGTTTATTTTTTATAATAAGTGGACTTATTTGCTAGGCAGTGGTGGCACACATCCCAGCACTTGGGAGACAGAGGTAGGCGGATCTCTATTAGTTCAAGGCCAGCCTGGGGTACAAAGTGAGTTCTAGGACAGGCTCTAAAGCTACACAGAGAAACCCTATCTCAAAAAACCAAAATAAAATATAACAAATGGATTTATGACTGTGTTGCTCTCAGAGTTGGGCTGGGATATATCCAGGAACAATTGGTGTTTTCTAGCTGCTTAGGAAAGACCACTAGTAAGGAGAAACTGTCTCAAGGACCGTCCTGCCTGCTAAGGCTGCATGGGCGGAGGCTGCCTTAGGATTTGAGGAGCGCAGTCTACCAATTTAGTCTTTTTTACCCTTAGGAATTCCAGAGAGCCAGGTAAAATAATGTAACCCCTGACCTATGTTCTGTACTACTTAAGAGAAACTCTTAGGTATGTGGATTGAAGGCCTGATGTTTGGTGGAAGTGAGGAACAAGGGACAGGTCATCCTTTAACAGGAGCATGGATGCTCACATTTTTTTGAGTGCAGGATTGTTACAGTATCTAGGCAAGAGGCCATTGGATAGTGACTGTATGAGCTACGTTAATGACTGGGTACTAACCCAGTGCTTTGCAATGGCCTCTTCAGTCCTGACCCAGGATATAAAGGAAATGGGTAGGTATGAAGTAGGAGGCAGGCCATACTGAGAATGTATTAGAACTAAGCCATGGCAACATGGCGTGTCAAGTGACAGGACAAGAGGGAGCTGTGTGCTAGAAGACTGTAGTATAGTGCTAAGAGTTTGATGTATTAATAATCTCTTTTTTGTAACAGTTTTAGAAGGTGGTAGTATTCTCATCACAGGTGAAGGAAGTGAGGCACCAAGGGGTAAGTCACCTCACCAAAACCACAGCATTAGATGGCAGAACTCACACTGGGGACTGGGCATGGAGTGGAGTTGGCCTAAGAAAGTGTCCATATGTGCTGCGCATAGCAGAGCTGGAGGGGTAGGGATGCCCAAGGAGCCCAGTTGATGCCACCTAGATTTCCAAATGCCTGATAGTCATAGAATTGGTTTTGCTTTGGAATGTTATTTTCTTGCTATTTTCCCACTCCTACTGTGTGAAATGGGAATGTTTACACTGTCATTATATATTGGAAGTGTATTTTGATTTATACGGGTTCATAGAGTATCTCGAGCCTCAGAAGAGACCTTGGATTGGAACAGTGTTGGAACTGTTAAAGACTTGGAGAAAACCAGTCACAAACCAGGGTAAAGCTCACTGGTGCTTGTGAGATTACCAGCTGCTTCAAACTCTGGGCAAAGGACTAGATTTCAATCTAGTCCTTTAGGTCCACAGGTTCTCTGCAAGTTCCATATCTTACAACAGCTTCAGGTAAAGATACACACCCAGAGCAGGGTGGTGATCTGCATGCAGTAAGGCCCATGGGCACTTGGGGAGTTCCAGAACTCATAGAAAAACTGAAGACCCATGCAGGAGGCACCAACTGACAAAGGACAACACCTGAATCAAATAGGAAGACTTAAGATAGAGCCTCTGGCGCCAAAACCAACCCCACAAAGGGAAATGTCACCTCTACTATAACTTAGCTCTCTCTTGAGCATTATAAATGTCATCACTGAAGATAAAGGGGATTTGAATATAAAAATAACAACAAAAAATACAAAAGAAAGACAAATTGAACCAGTATATTAATTCCAGATGGGCAAGTCCCAGGATAGGCACAAAAACATGAAAAACCAAGCTGGGCAGTGGGAGGTAGAGACAGAAGGATCTCTGTGAGTTCAAGGACAGCCTGGTCTACACATGGAGTTACAGGACAGGCTCCAAAGCTAAAGAGAAAACAAAACAAAAATCAAATAGGTAGGATGAAAATAAGCTCCTGACAACATATTTTAGTTAGAACACAAAAAACATGCAAAAGACAAGAGGCAAATTACCTATAAGGGCAAGCCCACCAGAATAACACAATTATTTAGCAGATATTTTAAAGACAGAAGGGCCTAAAACTGTATTCTGAAATACAAAACATAACTGTATAATGAAACTATTATATCCACCAAAGGTGTCTATTAAAACTGAAGGAGATTTTAAAAACTTTCTATGTTAAAAAAAAATCTAAAGAAATTTATGACTACTAAGGCAGCTCTAACCAAAGAGAATGGAAGGAATATTTTGGTCTCAAGAAGTGTAAAAATGACAAAGGTGTCGTAAGACAAAATAATCACAAGAGGTAAAAACAAAATCAACAAAATGACAAGTCAATATACTTTCAATAATAATTGAGTATTAGTAGTCTTAATTCTTCAATAAAAAGACAGATTGGATTAAGGCTGGATTAGAAGACAGGATTCATCTTTATGGTGCTGCTAACAAATACATACGACAGACACTACCTTAATGTAAAGGGTGGGAAAAGGTATTCCAAACAAATGGACCGAAGAAACAAGTAGGCATAGCTATCCTAATAGCTGACAAAACAGACTTCAAACCAAAAATATGAGAGGAAGGGCACTTCATACTGATCAACAGAACAGTCCATCAAGAGGACATGATAGCTGGGCATAGAGGCACATCCCTTTAAACCCTCATTCAGGAGGCAGAGGCAAGCAGAGCTACATGAGTTGGAGGTTAGCCTGGTTCACATAGAGAGACCCTGTCATAAAAAAAAAAAATTGTAATTATGACCCCCATGTGTGTGAGCATGTACTTGGGCATGTGCGTGCATGTGTATGTATATGCGTGTGTGCACACCAAATATGTGCAAATATAGTTTCGTAAAACACACCTAGATGTAAAGCCACAGAGTAATCCTAATACAGTGATAGTGAGTAACTTCAATTTTTCACTCTCACCAGCAGACAAATCATCTGGACAAAAACTAAACAGAGAAACACAAGTTAAGTACCATCATAAATACAGTGGATATAACAGATCAGTCTATAGACTGATCCCCAAAACTGATCACATATTAAAATACAAAGCAAGTCTCAACAATTGTATGAAAACTGAAATAACATCCAGAAAGCACACAAACTCACGGAAATTAAACAATATACTATTGAATGATGATGGGTCACTGATAAAAATCAAGAATTATAAAAAAAAAAAGTTTCCTGAACAGAGTGAAAATTAAGACAACTTAACAAAATCAATGGGACACAAAAAAGAGGGTCCTGCCAGGTGGTGTTATCATACATCTTTAATCCCAGCTCTTGGGAGGCAGAGGCAGGCAGATCTCTGTGAGTTTGAGCCAGCCTGATGTACAGAGCAAATTCCAGGACAGCTAGAGTTACACAAAGAAACCCTGTCTCAAAAAACAAAACAAAACAAAACAAAAACAAAACAAAACAAAAAAAAAAAAAAACAAAAAAACCAAGAAAAGGTGGGACAGGGAGAAGGGAATAGATACACCTTAAAGCCTTAGAAAAACAAGAAACCAAACCACAACAACAGAGAGGAAGGAATAATAGAAAGCAGGGCAGAAACAACTTAAGAAATTACAAAGAATCAATGAAATGAAATGAAGAGGGGTTTCTTTAAAATAATAAACAACTGACAAACCCTTTAAAAAGAGAAGATCCAAACTAATAAACAGATACCAATGAAAGTCAGAATACCATGGGACATACCCTAAGAACCTATACCTTTTGTTTGTTTGTTTGTTTGTTTGAGGGTCTCTTTATGTAGTCTAGCTGGCCTCAAACTCACAGAGATATGCCTGCCTCTGCCTTCTGAGTGCTGGGATTCTGTCATCATGCCACATCTTCCAAACTTTTTATGAAGCCAGTATTATTCTGATACTAAAATCAGGTAAATATCGCAGACACAGGAAAATTAGACTGGTCTCCCTAACAAATATAAATACAAAAGCCTCAATAACATACAAACTGAATTCAGTATCACAGTATCATGACCATTTTGACTATTCCAACCATGCAGGGATGATTCAATATACATAAATATAATTGATAATATAAATGCACCAAAAAAAAAACCCTCACCAGAAAAAAGAAAACAGCCTTTGACAATATCCAACATCCTTTCAAGATCAGTCATTGAAAGGGTACACACAGAAGAAATATACCTCGATATAATAAAGACTATATACAATAAACTTACAGCCAACATCATACTAAACAAGAGTTTGCATTCCTTCCACTTCTATTCCATTCAGTGGTTAAAGACAGAATAATACAAAAAGAGAAGGGCTATCAACAGGAAAAGGAGAAGTATCTCTTATGCAGATTATATGATTCTATGCAGAAGAGGTCCTAAAGAATCCACCAAAACAAACAAACAAACAAACAAACAAACAAACCCTCTTTGAGTTGATAACTATGTTCAGCAAATTGACACACACAACCTGGGAATAAATTTAACCAAGGAAATTAAAGACCTCTGTAAAGAAAGTTTTAAGACACTGAAGAAATGAAAGAAGATGGAAAAGATACTCCCATACTCACGGATCAGAAGAATATTGTGAAAAATGACCACCCCACTAAAGGTCCAAAAATATATGTGGCAGCACAAACCAGAGATAGTCAAAACAATCCTGAGTGAAAACAGTGTAGACTGTATCACACCCTATCTCAAGTTATACTAGAGCAATATTAATTTTAAAAAGCACGATACTGGCACAAAAAAATGGAATAGAGTTGAGGACTCAGATCTAAGTCCAAGCAAGCACAGTTAACCTGAATTTTTACAAAGACACCAAAAATATACATCAGAGGGGGGGGGGGAAAGCATGTTAAAAATGCCAGGAAAATTAAGACAAAAATCAAACTAGATCCTTCTCTCTCACTGTGCACAAAACTCAACTTCAAATGGAACAAAAACTTCAACGTAAGACCTTATAGTCTCAAAGTGCTACAGGGAAAAGTAGAGTAAATGCTTCAATTTATAGGAACATGAATGGACTTTCTGAATAAGACTCCTATTTCATGGGAAATATGACTCACAAACAACAAATAAGATTTCATCAAACTAAAGAAATTGAAGTAACTCGAATGCCTACAGAATGGGAAAAAAATCTTTGCCAGGTATTCATCCAACAAAGGATTAGTTTGTAGAATATATGAGGAACTAAAAAAGCTGAACATGGTAGGTGTGGTGGCACATGCTTTTAACCCAGACCTTGCTTTTAACCCCAGCACTTG